GCCATCCACAGATGCTTAAATCCAGAGATGGCAAACCCGTGGATAACAAGGCCCCACTGTATGACTACCCTGAACTATGAGATCCTCTATATGTCACCCCAGAAATAAGTTTCTATGTTCCAAAAAGGCTTCCTCCACATAAGCTGAGATAGGAGTGCTGGTACACATGCATGGAGTTTCTGTCATGGAAGAAAAGAGCAATGCAAGGATTCTTCAAACTAATGGACTACAACTACTAAGCCTTTGTTTGGATGCACTGAATTTCTTAATATATTGATATGAATTAGGCAACAATATTCTGTCACTGTAACACTCAATAGTCTTGAGGAGCCTCTCATTCTGATGCTTTCCAGGATCAAAGTGTTCAGCTGTAATTTTGTGATTGAGGTACTGCAAATGTGAAGTGGGAAGTCCATGTTTTATGTTCTGAATGGCTCAAGACTCCAAACAGCATGCAGGACTCAATTTCTAGGCAAGAACAGCCAATTAGGAAAAAAGAAAAGCTGCATTCATTCAGTACCCCCATTGCATTGTTTTGTTTTGTTTTGTTTTGTTTTTAAAATGCCTTTTTAAAATGCCCCCCAGGAGTCTATTAAAGAGATCATGAGTTTGCAGGAGTTGGGCAGAGCAGTGAAGGACAGGGGGTCTTGGAGATGTTTCATCCATAGAGTCACCATGGGTCGAGATCAAAAAGAAGGCAGTTAACAACAACAAATCAAGTATACTGAGCATAGAATCTCTGAGGACATTAATTCTCTCTTGGTACTATAAACTAATTCAGTTGCTTAGAATAAGAATGGACAGAATGCATAAATATTACATTTCCAAACTGCACCTCCCTCAGCCAACCTGACCACTGGATTTGCTGGCTTAGGATTCCAAGCCTTGGGGTTGGATAACCTCCAACTTGCAGATCAGATCTGGCCCTCACATGAATCTAGCCACTAGGGCTTCTACTCCTTGGCTGCAAACCTCTTCCATGTTAACTACAGTCACCCCTCTGTTGTAGCGAACTTGAAGTCTGCGGTCTTGATTATTCACAGAGGGGCAATCCCCACTGGTTAAAATGGCGTGTGTGTCCACGGCGCACCTGCAGAGCCGCTCACAGGAGCGCATGGTCATTCAAGCCAATGAGGCTTGAATATCCACAATTTTTCATTTTCGCGGTGTGTGTGTCCGTCCAGAAGGGATCCCTGAGAATAAGGTGGGGCGACTGTATAGATCATGAAAGGCTATGGAATGCCCTTAGAGATACAGGAGTGCCAACATTTCTGATAGTTCTGATGAGGAATCTGTACTCAGGACAAGAGACTACTGTCAGGACAGAACATGGAGAAACAGAATGGTTCTCAATTGGCAAAGGAGTCAGACAAGGTTGCATACTTTCAACCTATCTGTCCAACTTGTATGCAGAATATATTATAAGAAAAGCAGGCTTGGTCACAGAAGAAGGAGGAGTGAAAATAGGAGAAAGGAATATCAGCTAAGATATGCAGATGATACCATAATATTAGCAGAAAACCTCACAGATCTGGAACACCTACTAAGGAAGATCAAAGAAAATAGTGCAAAGGCAGGCTTAATATTGAACATAAAGAAAACAAAAATAATGACCACTGAGGACCTTCACAAGTTCAACCTAGACAATGAAGAAATAGAAATAGTAAAGCAATTCCCATAACTGGGATCAAACGGTCAGGAAATCAGATGAAGATTAAGAATGAAGCTATGAAAGAACTAGAAAAGATTGTAAAATGCAAAGATATACAACTCAGCACAAAAGTTAGGATCATACAAGCCATCGTATTCCCTACTACCATGTATGGATGTGAGAGCTGGACAGTTAAGAAAGGTGATAGGAAGAAAATCAACTCCTTTGAGATGTGGTGTTGGAGAAGAGTGTTGAGGATCCCATGGACAGCCAAAAGAAATTGCTCAGTGCTTTTTGACAGTGTGCCTCTTGCTTTAGTCCCTTTGCTGTCATATGTCCATCTGTCCTTCTTGTTGAGCCAATTAGCCATGGTGGGAAAAGGGAGGTTGAGGTGTCAGTATGGTAAATCCCTTCCACTAGTCCTCTCCTTACCTATAATCAGAGTGAATTTCTTACCAGTCATACATCTCTGGCTGAACATGGTAAGCAGATGGGCAGAGACTGTGCTCTTCTTCTTAGACTGCTGCCACACTGCAGAATTAATGCAGTTTGACACCTCTTTAATTTCCATTGTGCAATGCTGTGGAATTCTGGGATTTGTAGTTTGGTGGGGCACCAAACTACACTCTTTGATAGGGAAGGTTAAATATCTCACAAAATTCCAAATCCCAGAATTCCATAGCATTGAGCCAGGGCAGTTAAAATGTTGTCAAACTGCTTTGTTTCTGCAGTGTGGATATACTCTCTGACATTTTTTCAGCACCTGAGCCAGGAGAGCCACTCATGGCAAACAGGTCACCAGTATCATCAGTTTCCATGCCCATTCTGTTTGGATGCTGTAATTAAATATTATGTGTGCTCCTTTGTCCAATTCTGGTGTTTGCTCTTATTCTAGCTGCCACACTCAGCTCTACATGGTAGACTCAATGGGAACTTCATAGCCACTGAGAATAACTTAGCATGAATATAGCCATGGTTTGTGTTCAATGGCTGAAGCAATGAAATGGCAAATGAAAAATATTCTGAAATCTGCCTGCTTTTTCTAGGACAATAAATGGATGGCTAGAAGAAAAAAAATACAGACTCTCTCCCCATGTTCATTTGCTATGCAGCTCTGTTGCTATCTTTTAAGTGTGAAAGTTTTCTATTTTCCTAGAAAATGATCTTTAGTCCTGATTTTTATGCTGCTTTTAATTCTTGGGTTTTTTATTGTCAATAATATTTTAAAATTTTGTATTATTTTGTTATTCTAATTATAAAAAGCAATTTACAAACTGGAAGCTAATATTCTGAGAGGGGAAAGGA